ACAATGTCACTGAAAATTGCTGTCATGATGTACTCAAGAAAGGTGAACTATTCTTCGAATGAGGACAGGACAGAGGGACATATGAAAGAAGAGGAGTGGAGAAGGGAGGGGGGGAGGAGGTGTGCGGTGGATTGGCAGGCATAAAGGGGGTAAGTAGCTCACTTTTACAACGATCTTCCTAATGTTCCCATGGCTCACCACCTAACAAACGCGGAGCGCAAAAAACGTCTTATGCAGAGTGGGTTTTTTTCAGGTCTTCTACTGCAAATTGCTTAGCTTTCTTCCTGCTAGGGAGAATGCCATGTGTTGGCCAATGTGATTATCCCCCTCCAACTGCACACGGCAAATGTCGATTTTTTTCGAAGGGCAGTTGGCGCGATAACTTGGTTCCCTGCAGAAAATGGAAGGGCTGGAGCTGAATAAATGTGACAGGGAAGCAAACGCGGGACGATACAAGGCCAAACGGTCGCAATCAAGCCCTTACTAGCGGCTCCAGTTAGGAAGTGAAGCCCGCTAGTGTGCCTTACAGAGGTCATCGTTGGTGAGCAACGCGAAAATCACGGCGATGGCAAAATGACCGTGAAAAACATCGTTCCTAAACTTGGAGCTGATATCAGAAATTGTCCCTAACAAAAAAATAGAAGTTTCTGAAATTCCAGAATCACCACCTTTTACAATTTTTCACCTCTGTTTACTTGTATGCTTGTTTGCCCGGAATGCGGTTCCACCTGAAGAGCGACTTGGAGAGCTCGAGTCAGGGTTGGGACGGCTAGGGGACGGTACAAAGTCTAAAGAACACTCGTAACCTACGCTAAGCCTCGCCCACCGGCGGGCTGCCGAAAATCGGCGGTGTGGCAAGCATAATAGCACGATTCAGTTCCAGAGCAACACAGCGAGGGAAAAAGTGGAATAGTTGATGAAGGGTTGACAGATTAATTGAAGCAGACACCAAAGAGGGGGGCACTCGAGATGGGCGATGCTTCCCACCAAATTACGTAACTCGCTCAATTCAGCGACTGGTAAATAATAATATAATAATTGCAGAGACACCTTGCACTATGCCTAGAAACAATATAATAATTGCAGAGACACCTTGCACTATGCCTAGAAACGACATTCCTGCCACCAATACGAAATTACAGAAGAACTCTCGGAATGAACCCTGGCGAAGCATAAAAAAACGTCATTCAGCCGCGGATTATGAGTGAACAGCTGATGGGGGACAATCGCTGCGGCCAGATGAAGGCCTGTGAGTTTTGGTGGGAGTGGCAGTCGGCACTTCAAGCCTTGCTGAGACTCTAGGAGAGCGCACTTTGTTGCAAGGCCACCATGCAGATTCTGCTCAAGAGATAGTCTTTCCCGCTTGGTACTGTCACCCTGTAAGCCTAGTTGATTCATTGTGCCTTTCAAGAGAACTCATTTGCCGCAGAGACACGTTTCTTCGTCGTCAACTTCCATCCCAGAAGAACTTTCCTAACATTAGGATATCTAGAAACAATAAGAGCTGTTTCAATCAATTCCAGGCCAGATCCGATCTGTAAAGGCAACAGGTTTACTGTATAAAGAATAACGCAGTCAGCCAGCCTACCACTTCGGCTACAATATAGACGATTAAGTAGTCCGGCGTAGGAGCTTCAAATATTGCGTGGTGATATCCACAAGAGAGATCAGTGTGTCAACCATCGGTAGGATCACCCTGAGAGGACTCCACTTGAATACGACATTGAACTTTTTCTGATCATTTTCGAGTCGCGACCATGGTGCAATGATTGCGGATGAGGCTACCCCTCAAAAGAATTGGTCCCACTTGTTAGGTTATCGCAGAACGTGCCCTTGATTTTGTGTACTTCATCAAACTATCAAAACTGATAACAAGGAGTCCTGTAGGGTTTCAATGTTGCGTTTTGCCGTTGCAATTCCTGAAGCTACTCGAGGAGCAGGAGTTGGACTTTTTCCCAATTTTTGAACCTGCGGGGTCGGGTGTAGGCCTGCCTAAATGAGGTCCGCCCGGTATTCTGCCTTGAAGTATAGAGTATGTGGTGGTTAGAGACCCACGGACTCTGAGCGAGAGACTGGACAAGAGCGAGCTAATGTCGCAAAACAGCACAGAATGGAGAGGGGGACTACATGTCCACTACTAATATAATAGCTCAGTCGGACGTTACCATACCTGATTGTTCGGATATTCTCCGCAAGCTGATATCTAGTTGATAAAAGCGCCGCTTCCAGTACACTTCCTTGTAAGACGTTGATTGACGATAAGGAGCACAATAAGACCCTGAATCCGCGGCAATTGCCTGAGAAACCCTCAATTTGGTAGGCTATTCACCGCTGTCTGGACCAAATAATAAATGACATAATAGGCAGCAAGATTGACATCGCTCACCGCTGAAAAATAGAGAGTCATCAGAAATCTCCAAAGATTCAAAGCTGAAAGATTGTAAGTTTCTTTAAACTCAAAGACAAGCTGCATAACCACCTCCGTGGATCCTAGTCTTGTGAGGTAAATGGGTGACAGTGCTATGCCATTCTCTCTACATGAAGTGCGTGGGACGGGTATGGAAGGTAGTGACACCTCCAGTCGTCTCCGAACTCCGCCCACGTTATCCTCAAGGTGCAGCAGTCGCGGTAGGAAAGGTCAAAAGTGAGAGGGCGCAGACAAGCTGCGCGTTTGGCTATGGTTAGGCGTGTGGCTGCCCCGCGGCAGCCCGTGGCCCTTCAGCCCCGTTCGCACGGATAAAGGAGCACACTAATACAGTTGCAGACTTATTCGCCACGCACTTGGCGAGGAACACCCACCGAGGTAAATATAGAATTGTATTCAGCCTCTCACATAATTGGCGGAGTGCGCATTTGTTCGCACCTTTCTCAACATAATAATTGAGGTAGAGAAATCCGAAGGAAAATGGTTGAGAAAGCATAAGTAGAGCTCATTTTCTGTTGTTCTCGTATGAGTGAAGAAGTATCGTGGCAGTTAGTCTTTCCACCAAACAGCATGACTGTATGGGCATGATAAGATCGTAGCTATAGTTGTACAGAGCGTCTACCATGACGGCCACCGAATGCTCGAGCGCTTCGAAAAAGTTGAGGATCTTCAGGATGACCACGAAAGCGTCACATAACGCGTAGAATAGCATCAACTCAGCGAACATTAATCTGAAAGCCAAAAAATCTTTAACTTGCTCAGATCCTAGCCCTGACGTAGTCTTGTTCTCTGCAGACGCTGGCGCGTTTCAGCGAGAAAGCACTGGGTTTGGCGCGGCGCCAGACTGTTCTCCACCAACTGTGATCGCCTACCAGCTTCCTCAATCGATAGGGGAAAGTTTGTCGCCGCTTCACCCGCTCCCCTCCCCCCCCCCTTGGAACGCACCAACGTCGGCAGCAAACAAGGCTGTACTGCCATGGCTCGCACGAAGGGCGCTTTTGAGCGTTTGTCCTGGGATACATAGAGTCGTACTCTGACCAGAACAGAATTATATGAATCTATGTCATATACTGATTGTGTAGTTGGTATTATTACATGGATATTATATTTATCTTATATATCGGTTGTATTATTCCTGATAGTCAAATGGGTTTGAGCTCACCTTGGAGTGCAGGAAATAAAATGAAATAGAAATAAAATATAAGGATGAACCCTCGCAATGCGAGCTGTTTCAACTTTTTATCTTTTCTTTGTCATCCATTTTCTATATTGTTGAACAAGTTACAGCAGTTTTTGATATTACTACAGCTTGTTATTATGATAACTGCTGTTTACGCCACAGTTCGCGCTTCGAAAGTTACCACAAGGATGCTGAGTTATGGGCAAAAGTCGAACCCCATGGCGGCAGTAGAACCCGCAACTCACCATGTTACACGTGTGAGTGCTGATAGGTTACGGCATAAAAGCCGTTGAGCTGAGAGGGTAAGACCCTGGTGGCGTGAGGCACTCGCCCGGAAAGCGTGAGGTGCGGGTTCGACTCCCGCCTGGGGCACGTCTTTTGCCCACAACTCAGCATTCTTGTGATAACTATATTGGATTTTTATGGATTTTTCTTGGTTTTTTATTAATCGATTGCGCCTGGGAAAGATCGGAGACGATGTTTATCAAGCGCCCTACTACCAACTTCGCTCAACGGAATGGAAATCTTTAGCTATGTATACCTGACACGATAGCTAAACATACTGAAAGATCTCGCACCAGAGCTGAGCAGGAGGAAGCGAGCGGCTTGGGGAGCCTTCAAGAACATCGAGGGAGTAGCGAAGAAGACGAAGCAAGCTCCGTGCCCACCTCTTCGATTCCGCGGTCCTTCCTGCATGAATTTATGCCTAGAAGACTTGGGCTATACGGATGCAGGATGAGCATGCGAATAGCGTCATTCAATGCGCCATGAAAAGAGTGACGCTCGGAGTTTTCCGCTACGCGCAAGTGAGAGAGGAATCCGGAGCTGAGGATCAGATGATTTTCGAAGATCAAGTGGGGCCGAGGCACGTCATGCGTTTGAAGACGACCGCTGGACCAGAGCGATTACCGACTGGATTCCACGGGATGTCAAGCGAACACCTGGACGACCGCCTAATGGTCAGACTTCTTCGTGAAAGCTCTGAACGAATGGTAAGAAGTTCATCGCGTTCCTTCAGCACAGAGAACCTCGGCAAGTTCAGCGCGGTGCTGGGACGAATGGAGACGGTACCGGCTGCCCAACTCAGTGACCCGGGGCGACACACGTGATACACTTGAATTGCGGCTAGTCAAAAGTCCTCTCAACTTTTATTAAGGAATCCGCAGCTGGTTGCTGGAACAATCCCTTTTGAATGCCCTTTTATCAAGGTCATCAACGCCCAAAAGGACTATTGCTCTACTTTATTATTACACCAGTCGGATCGCCCGGCTAACGCCGAGCTCTCCTCCTTCTTGGAAGCCCGGCTTCGCCGGGCTCATGCAACTGCTTTAGAGTCGTGACTAACCGCTGTCTTCTAATCAAATGAATGTAGAAACGCGCCATATGATCGCAGGGCACTTTCATAATGAAAAGTTCAAAATCTGGTCATGGATAATCGATTACTCTCCTCCCCATCTCATGACAGCCATGGATGCTTCGGTCTCCGCAGTCGCTGCGTGCTCCTGTTCAGGCGAGCGTCGGTCGCGCCAATATGGTACCCTCCACCTCACCTATCCCCAAACTAACCTCAGCTATTCCCCGTCAAGCCACCCTACAGGTCACGCTCAGCTGCTACGCGAATAGCCCGTGCAATGGTTCTGAGTGCACTAAATGGTTGTGTTATGTTTATGTTGTGGAGGGTGTTATGACTATCAAAGCGTAGCAAGCACTTTGATAACAGACATTAATCGGTTCAGATCGTGATTGGCGGTCGAATCGATTTTCTCCCATCTTGTCGCAACCGTAGACGCCTTACCGCCGCAGGGCTATGTGCTCCTAATCGCGAAATCGCCGTTCTCATCTGGTATCCCCTCACCACATCATATCCCACTGACCCTATTCAACCGGCACCCACTCCCGCACGTGGTATGCAGCCGCCACGTGAGCACAGGGCACAGCATTCGATGGGAGATTTTGGTCCGCGTCTTTATCGACCCCCCCTTTTTCAGGGCTGGTACGACCCCCCCCCCTCCAAAACGTCCGCAAAGCGAGAAAAATCAACTATAAAAATAAATTTTTCCCAGCCCAAATACGACCCCCCCCCTTTTGGCGGCCTCATACGACCCCCCCCCATAGGGAATCCCCATCGAAAGCTGTGCACTGCGTGAGCAGCTGGTGCAACATATGGACACTACGCCGCCACTGTTCTTACCACCGCCTTGCTCGTGCTCACGTCCAGCTCCCAAGCGAGCAGCTCCTGCAATAGCACAGAGTCTATCACAGTGGTTGGCTTAGATAGGGGAGCTATTCACAATCCAAACAGCTTCCTAGTTCGTTGCTGTAACACGATGAGCTTGGCAAGTTTTTGGGCTAGGGATTTTCCTTCATGTCCTGCCGGCTGCTCGCTATCCAAAGCGGTAACGCTACGCATCCTCTTACTGTACCCAGTTTGCCCGATTCAATCCATATGCCTCCTTCCCCTGCATGGGCTCAGATCCGACTGAGTACGCGCAAGGAAGTGAGGATGGGAGAAGGGGGTCACTCGATACTAACTCCCACCTTCCTCACCTCACCCCATTCCGTACTCGCCACTCCACCCCCCCCCACCACCTTGCCCCTTGCACGCGCTTACGTCCAACTGCCACGCGAGCAACCCGTGCAATGGCTCGGAGTGTAGTGGTTTTCTTATATAGTGGAGAGTGTTATCACAACCAAAACAACTTCTTAGTTCGTTACGGTAACATAGATTGGCTTACAGTTTTGTTAGCGGTTGTTTCCTCATCCATTGGTGTGCGTTTCTACTGAAACGCGCGCTACGCACCCCTCACTGTACCCCCCTTCCCTCTGCCTCCCTTCCGAATACATGTGCTCAGCTCCGCTGAGCACATGCAGGAGAAGGAGGCAGGGCGACCTGGCACCCCCACCCTGCCCCCGCACGAGCACACGTCCAGCTGCCACGGCAGCAGCTCGTGCAATGGCTCGGAGTGTACCGAGTGGTTGTCTTATATATGCTGTTATCACAATCAAAACATTGGATTGATACATCTGCACCGATGGGTTCCCGGTTTGGCTAGCGGTCGTTTTCTTCTTTCACTAACGTGTTTAATCCCGTAAAGCATTTTGCGGACGGACAGACATACAAACCGACATACATACATACCGACAAACCGACACACAAAGTTTCTGCTTTATAGAATGTAAGGATTTCGACGTAAATCAAAAGCAACAAGAACGTTCAAGCACAAACCACAGCAACTCTTGCAACCACAAGAAATAAATTTTGACTGCACGTGAAAATGGAGAACTCGTAGAAGGCGCGATTGCAGGTCCAAAGCGGTGCCGAACAGAAGGACAACCACCATATATGAAGGCGACTCCAGTATAGGCGTGAATAACGCTAGCCCATACTTCAGAGCAGACCTCATCGGACATGCTCAGATGGCGAACGGGTATGTTTGCAGTGACTGTTCCCATCAAATCGGCCGATTACATAGGTTGCCAGTAATTACAGTTCGGAACTAGCAATCAAAAACTGCGAGACTTGTCAACATCGATAAGCCTTCGTCGCTGAAATGCAGTACGTTCCATGAATAATGAGTCGCTTAGGGAGCTTGTAAGTGTTCATAGAATGTCCAAGCACATAACACAGCTCTCCTTTGAGGTTTCCGTGTTTCCAGAGGTCGCCATCGACGAATCTCTACGTCCCGCCGAAAAACAATAGGACATTTCCCAAAGTTTACTTTTGATGTTTTTGCTAAGCGTTCGTCGATTCAAAGCTGTAATTGAGGCCATATGCACGTTTTGTTTCGCTGCAAAGGCTGGGGCGTGTCAGCGGAGACGGATTTGGGCGCCGCCAGCGCGTTTCCATCGACTGTCGTCGCCCACCCTCCACATATTTTGAGGCCAGCCTAGCACTCGCAGAAATCATTTGCCCACCCACAAAACGCCCGCTGAAAAGTCGGGAAAGTTGTGGAAGCCAGTTTGTAATCGGCATCGAGATGCTGAAAGCATTCCAGGGAGGGCTAACGCCCTCAAAGGACAAGCACACTATTTTTTATGAGTCTTTGTAGATTATGACACGTGGTGCGTTGGTCTGAAATAATAGAAGGTGCCTCACGACCCTTAAGAAAATAAGGGGGTGCTCCCTCACACAGCACAAGTAAACATGCGGCGAACAGGAAGTAGTCGTACTCTTTATTATGCACGGCGCAATGTTTTTTGAAGTAGTTACTTATTTATAAGTGTGTTTTCTTCGCTGAAGAGAGGTTTGACTAATACAGATCTTACCAGAGATGGCAACAGTGCCTTAGGGATGTGCGCACAGATCTCCTTCTATTTTGGGAAGTAATCTCAGTGGAATAATGGAAACGGTTTAACTTATTGATATAGTGAACACAGTCTTGTCAGGTAGACTCATACAATCTCCAAGGGATTGCGCAGGAATCACTCCAGTACCATTCCTGGCACAACAATGCCAGTGCTGACACAGTTTGAAGCAGAATAATGCAGCAATCAACAATAGAACATCGACTATGCGCTGGCTTGAAGCCCACTGTGCGTTCCATTCA